GTACAGGATAATCAGTAGAAGTCATAATAAAAGAAACAGTGTACATGTCATACATGACAACAGCAGGTATAGTAGAAGGAACAATATAACATGCTATATAGAGCGATAACAAATACAGCAAAAGGAACAGTATAACATGCTTTACAGAACAATAGCAAGTAGAAACATGAATAATATAACATGTTGTACAGGGCAGTAGCAGGTATAAACAAGAATAGTATAACATTCTGTAAATGTAAAATGAACCTGTACGCTCGTGGCCTCCACTGTTTCTTAAATGTAGCAAGCTGAAATGCATCACAAAAGCAAAGCTTACTAGAAACGTTGTCCAGAAAATCCGAAGAAAAGTGTAATAACGACTCATGACAGAAAACTCGACAAAATCAACGAGAAAAAGACTCAAGTAAAAATCTTCAAAATTTAGGAGAAATCTCAAAGAAAAGAAAAGAAGCACGAGTGCTCTGTTCAAGGCTTCGATAAAACAAAAAGTTCAGGCAAAAGGGGACCGCAAGCACTCATGTAGGGCTAGGCTCAGATATATGTATATATACTCGAGGGTCCACGAAGGCTACTCGGTCACCCAAATGTGTAGAACCCGCCACTCGTCTAAAAGTGTGTCCTGAACCTCACCTAGAGGACTACTTCCCAGCCTAAACAGATATTCGTCAGGAAACAGGTATTCGTCAGGTGGACAATCAATTTTAAAATATATTTTTAAAATTTATGTTTTTAACATGCACACAAATTTTAAACATGCAAAGAAGAGTTATCAATTTTTGTTTGTTTTATAGAAAAGTATGTTTTTGCCTGAAAAGGGGCTTATCAAAACTTTTTTTTTTTAGAAATTTTCGTTGTCCACGAGTCGATTACACTGTCGGGCGTGAGACTGCATAGGACTGCCAACAACCTGAGGAGGTTCGAGCCAATTCCCGCTAGACTTATGTCGGTGAAGGATAACGTTATCTTATTTTTCTGCTCTATCTTCGATGTGTCTTTATCATCACCACCCTATGCCCCAAAACAAACTACTTGCGACTTTGCTTGATGGTTTCACGTATAGCAAAAGGCTGTACGTGGACACTTATGCGTCGGGCATAAGCGTCGAAAACCGAACCAAGAAGCAAAGAAAGAAAAGAACAAAAACTGGGTGAGAGAGAGGAGACACTGATCCATCTAAAACACGGAAAATGAGAATGAATCAGTTCTCAAAACTCCTATCAAAAAGACCTGTAAAAATAGGGTCCGAGGTCTTTCCCAACAAACATAAAAGGCTACTTCGCGCTATTTTCAAGCCCCAAAGATATCCTTTAGTTTCAATCAAGTATTCTCCCGTAATGAAATTCGGAAATCTCCCAAAGAAGCTCACTGTCAAGCTCAATACAAAGAGACGAACAACAACTAAGACTCTCGGCCAAAGCAACAAAAGGACAGCTGCTAAAACCCACGACCAAAGACTACCCAAGGCACAAGTAAGGCTCACGAGTGAAGCAACCAAAAGAACCACCAGTGGCTACCATATTCCTTAAGAGGATAAATGGGATTGTTGTTATTTTTTTTTTTTTTTTCTTGGGATGACAAACTTGATTCATCAATAACATTCAAGCCATTAAACCCAACGAGAAGGATTGAATCACACCAAACAAACTCCAATAAGTCTCACGAGTAAGGACTGTGAGGAGCAAATCTCAATGGTGAGTTCACGGGCAGGGCCAAGGGGGTGGCTAACTCAACCACATCACAAACCCACGGCTAGGGACCAAGCAAACATCAAACTGCAGCCTTATAAACTTCCAAACCGTAGGAGTTAAGGCCAACAGAAATCAGAACCCAAACCACCTCTCGGGTAGGGGCAGGACAAGGCAAAACCGAGCCACAACTAAGGGTCCAACCCAGGCCACAACAAGGACTAGACAACATCTCTATGCCTTCAAGACATCGAAATGTAGGATGACCATGTGTCTCAAACAAGAACAGCTATGGAAATCCAAATCCAAAATAAACTTTTCCACAATATGTATGATTAAGCCAAAGGACATTCACAAGATGCCAAAACCGAACCCAGCAGGGGCCAAAGCAAATGAAACCAAACCCTCCCACAACTATAGAGCAGGGGTAAGAATAAACACCAGAAACGGGCTCTCAAATAGGAGCTAAAGCAAGCAAACCGAGCCCCGCAAACAGAGCCAAAAGCAAACCCTTCGCTTCCAAACCGTAGGAGTTAAGGCCAACAGAAATCAATACCCAAACCACCTCTCGGGTAGGGGCAGGTCAAGGCAAAACCGAGCCACAGTCAGAGCCAAACCGAGCCACAACTAAGACTCAAACCCAAGCCACAATAAGGACTAGAAAACATCTCTATGCCCTCATGACATCAAAATATAGGACGACCATATGTCTCAAACAAGAACAGCTATGAAACTCCTCCAAATCAAAATAAATTCCTCCACAATATGTATTTTTATGCCAAAGGACATCCACAAGATGCCAAAACCGAGCCCAGTAGGGGCCAAAGAAAATGAAACCAAACCTTCCCACAGCTATGGAGCAGGGGTAAGAATAAACACCAGAAACGGGCTCTCGGATATGAGCTAAGACAAGCAAACCGAGCCCCCAAACAAAGCCAAAAGCAAACCCTTCAAAGCCCATACGTGAAGCTTAAACAGTTAGGACAATGTTTTAACCAAAACCAAAAGCCAAGCCCCAACAAAACTAACATCCCATGCCCTTTCAAGGTGAAAACCGAGCCCTAATGGAGGCTAGAAACCAAAATTTTACAATCTACAAATGCAGTTTATGGTAATAAATCCAAACCCAACCATCCTTAAGCAAACCGAAAACCAGCAGGGGCCAAAAAGCAAGCCGCAGCTAAGGCTCAAAATCAGGCCACACTGAAAGCTAAAAAAAGAGCCAATATATGCCTTAAACAAGAACAATAACATAGAGAGTATATTTAGGCCCCCCCCTCCCCCCCAACTTGAGTATTCCAGACATGAAACAACTTACAACAAGTATTTAAACAAAAGGATGCCTCACGAGGAGCTAGACCAACCCCTCAAAACAAGTTACAAAGCTTTCCAAATTAAATAATTTTTTTTTCATAGCATGCATTTCGAGTAAGGGAAAGTCACAGGAAGCCAAAACCGAGCCTCCAAACATACATAAAAGGCCAAATAAACTCTCCAATATCTCATGCTAGATAAGAATGAATGAAAAGCTTCATAATACATATCCCAACGTGCTTGCAAGAGGAGCCACCATTGTCTCAAGGCCATGTTTCAACCTTCTTATTCATGGTAATATAAATATGTCATAGTTTCATCTCAAGCAAGTAAAGAAAAGAGAGGTACTTATATCATGCCATATTTCCACCGTTCTAAGCAAGTAATCATGTCCAATTCCTAAAACATGCTCACATTTCCATTTCTAGATGCTTGAGTACCAAGTATTTCCAAAAATATAAGTGTAATATTATGCAAGCATGCTATACCATCCACCACACCAAGCTAAGGGGCTCGACAGAGAGAAAACCGAAGAAAGACAAGACACAGAGGGGAAGAAAATTCCTCCCTGAAGCAAAGAAAAGCCACACAAAAAACTTTCAAAGCACTCCTCGACTTCACTTCCTCTCCCAACAGCTAAGAGAAAACCGATTCAAACACCAGAAGATCAAAGAAGTGAGTGAGAAAGAAAAATAGCAGAGTTTTCTCCCCTAGAAAGATTTTTGGCCTCTTAGAAGCTTCACAGAGGAGCTCTCATATACGCTAAGGGCAAAAGAGACGAATGATTAAGAAGATACGGCAGAGGGATCGAGAGATGCGGAGGATTTGTCCCGCGTGCGAGAGGCGAACGCGGGAACGAAATCTCCCAACGGCACGAAGGAGTGGGCCAGGGGGCGACCGAACGAGCCGTCCTAGGGCTAAGGCAGACCCACGGGTTCGAAGGAATGAGGCGGGGAGGGGGAAGAATTTAGGTTAAGGGTTTTAATATAAGTTATTAATTATAATAATAATAATAAAATATTATTTATTATTATAATAAACACCTAAATAAATATTTTCCCCAAGACGCGCCGTCGCAATGAAACGAACGTCCCCCTTAATCAAAATCGACGTTCCGGACGCATCGGCGCAGTCCGTTTCGTCATCCGGAGTCGTCCGGGCAACCTCATCGCCGATCAGCCTAAAAACGCGTCGCGGTCCGAATCCTACAAAAATTCCGGCTCGAATTCGATTAAACAGGACAACGAAGAGCGTAGCGGCGCCAAATCAACGAGCAGAGTCAATCCTAAGGCCGGCGGTCCTATTGGAATGCTCCCTGAGTTCCTTCGGAGTAGCCTTACCTGCTAAACAATAGCGGTCAAGACTACTACATGGAACGTCAAGTCGAACGAAGGAAAGTCCATAATTGCTAACGGGGAGGGCTCCTTCACTAGTTTTCTAGGAGTAGTCGACAGAAAAGTCCTACGGCTAGATCCTAGGCTACTAAGGAGAGGTAAACTATACCTCAACCGAAAGTGAGGTCAACATGTTTGTTTGGCGTTTAGTATTTAGATGCTTAGGTTAGTTACTTTGCCTTTTGTTGCATTATCTGCTGGTAGTAATTCAGTTCACTTTATGGCCATTAATAAGCTTATGCTTGACTTGGATTTTTTTTTTCCTAGAACTATTTGATCATGCTGTGCACCCATGAATGTGTATGACACTTCAGCTTGAAGTACTTTAATATATTTTTATTGTTTGATGCAAGTTTAATTTGACCAGTGCGCTTTACTTTTTTAATTGTTGCTGTTGTTGTTTTTTATTTTTGCTTCGCTGTGGTCATATGCATCAGATTAAAAGTTTTGTCGGGTGAATCTTTATAATATTCCTCCATTTGAATTGTTTGTTTAGTTGAGGGAGTCATAGGCATCAAAATACAGGTCTTATCGTGTGAATTTTGGTAAATTGCTTTCGTTTTCTTTGTTGTATTGTCCATAATGTTGACTTGAAAAGGTTTTACAGTGCAGAACTGATGTTTAGTGAGGAAATACATTACAATGATCTTGTCGATACCATTGATTGCAAGAATGGATCAACTGAAATTGGCATTGTGAGATCATTGAAAGAGGTGGCAAAAGAAGCCATGACTACTGAAGGTATTACTTCTATCATGCAAATTTTCTCTATTTCCATTGAAGGCCTTGTTTAATAGAACTGGAAACATTTTTTATCTCCTTTGTTTGAGGTTTCTAATATTGAACTGTAACTTTGACCTTAAGATTAGGATTGCTTGAAATTGGATTGGCTTTTTGATTCATGTGTCTCCCAAGATTCTTTCAGACTGTTCCCAATTAATCTACATTTCTTCTATAAACTCTGGAAGAACCTAAACAAGCTCATATGAGGGATCAACAATGCCTAGAGGAGTTGAATCAAAATGTTGTTACAAAAACAGCTATTGGAGAAGATAAAGTAGCAAAAACTCAATTAACAATGTCCTCAAAGTTTGGCCGGCCAAACATAAGATTATTGCAAGGGAATTTCTTTGAATCCATTTCAAATATCTAGCAGTTTTATCCATCAAGTGAGGAAAACTATTTTTTTGGTAGGCTTTTGTGTCTTTTGTAGAAGTGATTGCTAGATTCTATTTGTTGTTTTACTTTTTTTTAGTTTTTTTTTCCTTTTTTATGATTTTACTCATAATTTGAATTTGTACAAAAAATTCCATTTTTTTTGTACAAATAAGTATCTATTTGGATTATTGTGAGGATGCTAATTTGAATTGAATAAGGGTCCGTTTGGCGCAGCTTATTGCCGTTTGGTTTCTACATTTGCATATGCGGCCGGGATACGCACGTTACCATTTACGTCTGAGCCCCTTGATCCCGTCTTCGTTCTCACATGGTTGCCCTTGCCTTGCGATCGAGTTCCCGCAGCGATACTATTTCTCACTCCTCGATCCTGTCTAACATTCTCCTCGATCCTGTCTAACATTCTCCTCTCCCATTTTCATCTGTGGCTGGTACCATTCCCTCCAAGATCTTTGTGTGCCTTTAGGTGGTGAACTAAAACCTGAAACAAATTTCGCAGGTAATCCCTCTTACGACTTATGGTATTGCACGGGACTTCTTTCATTTATGGATTACCCGGTATCCTCCAATGTTTGTTATCATCTTACGACCTATGGTATTGCACGGTTTTTTTTTTCCTTCCGTGCGAAATTTGTTTCAACGATTATTGGTTTTGGTTCGTGGACAAAAGTGCTGAACTTTTTCGGTTAAATTGATATTTCTTTGAAACACTCCATGGTATGCATGATTACATGGTGGAAAAGCTATTTCCTTTTTTATGCCCTATTCCTACTGGATTTTCGTTAACCCTATTGTCTTTGCAACTGTGAGAAATGAGCATTGAAAAATCATTGGTTGAATGCAATGATAATGGGTTTGTATTGGTATGCTTCTTGTATTCTTAGGAAACCTATGTTAATGGGTTTGTATTCTTAGGAAAATTTTGAAAGTCTTGACATAACAGTCGGGGATGCTTTTTGTATTGGTATGAAACTTGTTCTTCTCCTTGTATCATTATTGAGGCATTGGTTTTGATTTGGTCAGTTTTTCATCATTCTTATCTCTTCAATATATATATGTATATGTATATATATATATATATAAGAATGACGTCGTCTCTGATCTCGCTCGGCTGTGCTAGGGGTTTCGCCCGATGGCGACCTCTAGTAGCAGCTACGTCTTCCCTCGTCTTCGCTGGTCTTCGTGCTCGACTCAGTTCGTCTCCCTCGCTTCTTCTTGAGACGCGTCTTCCCGTATCGCGAGATTTCCTCGCTCTGCCGCTCGTCTGCGACTCCTTTTCTGCAGCTCCGTTCCTTTGAGGCTCTGCGGCTCGTCTCACGTTCTCACATTTTTCCTCTACGGCTCTCTCGCGGGTGGGCTCCTCTGCGACTTCTCTGCGCTCACTGCTTCCTCTCTTCTTCTTTCAAAGATTTCGATGGCTTCGAACAGATCGTATGCAGCTGCCCTTTCGGGTGTCTGCGCCTCAGACACACCTAAATCGCCATCTTTCCCTCCTTTGTTTGAGTGGGCGGAGGACATCAAGAAACTTGTTATGAAGAATGAGAAGTCTGCCATAGTCTGCCATATTTTTTTACAGAAGCTGAAGGTATTTAACTTGCTTCCTCCTGTCGTCTGAATTTGGGTGGGAAATTTCTATATGGTCATCCCAAAATGGAGCTCATTCGCATAGAATTTGAACTTAGGCACCTCGTTAGAGAGTGGAAAATTAGACTATTAGATGAGAAGCATATTCTCATTCAAATTAGTAATGAAGATGATTACATACGCTTATTCGCTAGAAGGATAATATAGATGGATAATAAAACTATGAAGATTCTGAAATGGTCTTAATGAAGATTCTGAAATGATATGTGGATTTTGACCCGCGGATGAAACCGCCAATCATTCCGGTTTAGATTCGCGGATTCGCCTCCCTGGTCTGAAATTTCATTATTTTTCTCAAAAAGTATTGTACTCCATTGTCTTAGCTTATGGAAAGATCTCAAGACGGACATTCCTACTTTTAATCTTTCCCGTCCATCTAAAGTCATAATACTTGTTGAAAGAGACATCACTACACCCGCTTCTGAGAAAATCTGGTTGGGCACACAACACCAAAGCTATTGGCAGAAGGTAGAGATTGAGCCTTTTCCGCCGTATTGTTCGAACTATTGTATGTTCGGACACTTCAGTTCTCAATGTCATCATCTGCACCCCCACCTCAGACGAAAAAAGCAAACTACTCCGCTAGAGACTGTGATTCCATCTCCTCCTGACCAACTTCAAGTTTTTGACTTTATTGATCATCAGAAGGATACCCCAGAAGGCGTCACTTTCCCCGCAGTCAATATGTCAACCATCAACCATTCAGTCCTTTGTAGCTCCCCCGTCTTTGGAACCTCCTATCGTGGGGGAAAAAGAGATTCTCTAGACCTCGCCTGCTTTAGAACCTATCACTGATAATATAGGTGGAAATACTTCTACTGTTTCACTACTGTCTCATTAGGTACAGAAAAATGTTGGTATTACTCAGGCTCATGGGGATCATGATGTGCAACGACCTACAACTGTCTGACCACCTTTGGAATCTACTGATCAAATGAGTCAATCATCGGATGAGGAATGACAGGTCTACATCCAGGAGGAGGAAGAAAAATGAAAATTTACTTGAGCTCAGGAATCTGATGGATGACACTTTGGTTACTACGGGCAATAGTACTCAACTTACAAATTTGTTAGCCGACTCACTTCCGTGATATAGAGGCAGGAGGACTAAAGTGGGGTGTACCTAGCATCTTTGTGCCCTTTTGTGGCTTTTGGTTTTTTTTTCCTTTATGTATCTTTGCTTTATTTGAGTTTTGTGTGTGTTGTTTTGCATGCGTTAGGCTTTCTTTTAGGCCTTCTCATGCAGCATTTCTGTAGCTTTCTTCCGTTTTAATATATTTGCCCTTAAGCTTAAAAAAAAATACTTTTTACTTAGTTTGTATGCATGACAAATAACTTGTCAAATTTAGTCACATATTAAATTTCATATATGTGGTGTAAATCATAATCATTGTGAAATTTTATATTCATTCTTAAATTAATTATGGGATTTCAAATTTGTAAATTTTTTAAATATTTCTTTAGACTGAATTAAATAGAGGGCAAACATGGATGCCAACATATGTTAGATAGTGTCGGCGTGATCATATGTGCATGGTTCTAATGATTCCACCATGCATGATGATTTTCAGGGTTATAAGGTACTACGATTCTTGATCTGGACTTTTTCATTTGAGTTGTCTTGGTGATGGTTATTTGTTTTATCCGTTGAAATTGAAAGGTGTAGCTCTATAGTCGTGCTTCCAAATTTGTTCTACAAATCCAGTGTTGTATTTCTTTCACTGACATTGTGGCTTGAAGTTTTTGTGTCCTCTTGAATCATGTGAATTGAGAATTGTGAATGTTAAACGTGCTTTCCAATGAGTTTAAAGACTTCGAATTTCACAGCTTAATGTTTGTTTTGGTTTCAATGGGAATTTCACAGCTTAAACGTGTATTTCTTTCATTGACCTTGTGGTTTGAAGTTTTTGCTTCCAAACCATATATCCTCCAATGTTATTTCAATGTTTGGTTTGGTTGTGTGTGGCCTCTGCTTGGTCTTTTCGATACATGGATCCGAATGGCTTGCTGGTGCCTGCTTTGGTATATTGTTCTTATGTATATATGAGACTCTCTGCATATATGCGGCATATACATGGCATATATGTATGCCTCATATGAGACTTCATCCATATATCAGGTATGTATGAGGCATATGTTGAGGCTTCAATCGTATATGAGGCAAATGTTGAGGCATATGTTGAGGCATATATTGAGGCATTATCCATATATGAGGAGTACATGAGGCATATATGAGGCGTATATGAGGCATATTTGAGGCAGATGTTTTTCAGTTTTTATTTTTTATTTTTTTCATTTTCTCTGATTTTTTGTTTTTAATTAGAATTATTTAGTCCTTATTGTACAATGGTTTATCAAGATATTATATGTTATTAGTTCCAATATGACTAAGACGAATGAAAGGGGTTGGTCAGCTATGTGGGATAGAAAAATAACGAATATTTTTTGCAATCTCTGTATTAATAAAATTGAGTTTGGAAATAGGCCAACTACGTATTTTAACAAGGATGATTGACAAAATATTGCGAATAGGTTTAAAGAATTTACGACAGACTAAAATTATAAATTCAAAAACAAAAAATGAGATCAATTGAAGGAGTGAAAAATATGGAAGAAGCTGAAACGTGGATCCACCGGGTTGGGTTGGGATCCTATTAAGCGAACAATCGATGCTCTAGATGAATGATGGGTTGAGAAATTAAATGTAATAATTATAATTTTATTTAATTTATTCTCATAATGTTACAGGCAATTCCGATAGCCAAAAAATATAAGCAGTGCAAAATTGAGCCGGAGTTCGAAGATAAACTGAACATAATATTTAAGGAGGTTGTCGCGACGAGAAAACATGCATTCAACCCAAGTGAGTTGGGGTTTGCAGGCAAGCCAAATGACTTGTCATTTGAGCAAGTTACGACTGA